ATTCTGGCACTCCTGAGAATGGGACAGAACAACTCAGGTCAAAAGTCCTAGAGCTAGCCCCAGTGCTGGCATTCAGGAAGTGAGTGACTTAACCATCCCTGCAGGTCAGGCTCTCATTCCTACACCAGGGCAGGAGAGACCTGGTGGACTGTGCAGAAATGGCCTGGAAGGATTTATGAGAGTGAGGTCACCCTTTTCTTTACTAACCAGAAACTCATAGCTCTGTGACCTCAGACAAACCTTTGTCCTCTCTGGCGCTCAGTTTTCTACCTCCAAAATGGACAGGGTGGGGTTAGGCCAGACAAATGGTCAAGACCTTTCTAAAAACAAGGGTCACTGGCCCTGATTTTTACACACAACCAGAGAACTATAATTATTGGTTCTTTGTTTCCCTGGGGGGGGGGTGTTTCTAACCATGTGATCTTCCAGGAGAAATCCCCCACCCCAAAGCAGGCCCTAGAAGGTGCTGGAAATCTGGGATTGTGAAATCCTTGATGATTTAAATTTCTTTAAAAATATTTAATCTGTGTGTGCTTAAGTGTATGTGTGTGCACCCTGTGCAGGTAGCAACCCAAAAAGGTCAGAAAAAGGCACTGGATCCCTTGGAAGTAGACTTACAGTTTTGGGGCATCATATGGGTGCTAGGAGTCAAACCCAGGCTTTCTGCAAGAGCAGTTAAGTGCTCTTAACCACTGAGCAAGCCCTCCAGCCCCATGGTAATTCAGTTTTCTATTTCTGCTTCAGCTCCCTCCCCAGTCTCTACACGGGCCTTAACAATCCCAACACTGGGGCCCACCATGATCCTGCTGTGCCTCATCCCCCATCCTGCACCCCCAGTTTATTTGCTAAGCATTTTCCCCAGGTGCCAGATTCTGCCTGCTCTGGAGCTAATGAGACTGTCAGTGCGTGGCACAGCCAGCACCACCTGGGAAAGAGCACCCAGGACAGCATTTAATAAGACTTAGAACAAAGAGCTAGATCAGGTGCTCTCGGCACTCACCCGTAGTAAGTGGGTCTCCTTGGAAAAGCTCCATCCCAGCTCTGGGAAAGCCAGGTATGTCTGGAAGCTGCAGCAGCAGTGAGAAGAGCCCTGGGCCAGCAAGATACAGAAACTGTGTGTGTGTGTGTGTGTGTGTGTGTGTGTGTGTGTGTGTGTGTGTGTGTGTGTGAATGCAACACTTCCTCAACACTTGATAGACACATCCTGTGTAGAGTCTCACACAACTAAGCTTCTATTTTGCACTACAGAGTCAGCTCATTACTGTCAGATTCTCCGTGCTCCCTCAAATCATCTCCCCAATAAGCTCCCTGTGCTGAGTCCTGAGTTAAAGGTCTCCTTCTGAGGGAAACTCCAGGTACAAAAGAGGTTGTTAAGAAACTGAGTTGGTGGCACATGCCCATAATCCCAGCACTCAGGAGGCAGAGGCAGGCAGAGCTCTGTGAGTTCGAGGCCAGCCTGGTCTACAGAGCGAGTGCCAGGATAGGCTCCAAAGCTACACAAAGAAACCCTGTCTCGAAAAACCAAAAAAAAAAAAAAGAAAGAAAAGAAAGAAACTGAGTTGCTCAACAGGGAGACACCCCAGCAGGGGACTAGTTCAGGAGGCACCACATGGGGGAGATAATGTGGTAGGGATTTGAAAATATACTTATTGATCCCAGAACTGTGTCACAGAAATCTAGCTTCCTTCTCTGGTGGAGTAAAAACATTTATGCCATCTTTTCCTATGCTCCCAAAAATGCTAGAAGAAGAGAAAGGACTGCAAAGGGTTCTTCAGTGAGTCCTGTGAGATACCCGTGGGTGCCATACATTAGTCATCTTCAAGCCTACTATGCCCAAGAAGTCAGCTCACTGACAAAAGAAAAATTTCAATACATGTTAGCATCTTAAGTGGTATGGATTTATCTAAATATCAAAGGAAGGTTATCTAAAAAGGAATATAACAAAGGCATCAAATACTAGAATCAGCTGAGATATCTAAACACAGTGATACACAGACAGTGTGCCCATAATCTGCTCCAGACCCCAGTCAACCTTGGGAACCCCAGTTTCCTTCTCATGGGACAGAAGTCAGTACCGTGAGAAGATTCAGTGAGAGAATGCTTGTGAACCTGGGGTCTAGCAATGCGAAGTACTTAATTGTAAAGTGGTAGGCGGTAATGAAGAGCAGAAAGCATTATACAACAGCAAGGCTAACACAATTTATAAAAAATCCTAGACAAACCCATACAAGGACTGACATTAGTTTCCCCAGCATAGGGGCCCAATTGGATAGCACCAGGAACCTATCAGATGAAGCAAAAGAACAACCCAGAGGACCTGGCTTAAATAGCCTAGTCAGGCCAGCTCGGGCTAGCACTGACACAGCAGGCAGCAAGCAACACAACAGGTTAAAAGGGCTAACAGGTTAGACTGGTTAAGAGGATCGAGCTCCAGGACCACACAAGGTGATGATCCCTACCCATCCCCACTAGTGTACAGAGGAGTATTCCCAACACAATTTCTCAATATATTTTAAGGTCCTTCCAGGTATATGAATATCCTTTCTCTTTGTGGTTTATTTGTACTTACATTTCAATAGGTTCTGATCCTTCTTATCTGGTGTCTCTCGTGGAACTCAGAACTCCCCTGCTGGCTTCAAGGGAGCTAATGGCTTGACCAGGGTGGACAGAGCATGTTTAATTTTGAGAGAAACCTGAGGCTTTGATTCTTCGGTATGCAACTCTGTGCAAAGTAAAGGTTACGGATCTCATGGCTGGGCCCCAGCAGTTAACATCCATTCACTTCCCTTTGCCATCTTTCCCTGGACTTCCGCATCTCCCTCCCATTCATGCCCTTAATCAACCATGGTGCAGTATTCCTATCACTGAGGCCAGGACCCAGAATCCTGGATAGTTCCCCAGAGGCAAGCACAGAGCAGACCTCCCGTGACCTGGCCTAGGCAGAGGAGGAATGCTTCTGAACAGCAGGGCCTCAGCTCGCCCTAGACAGCCACACATCTTTGAGGCATTGCATGGAGACCACCTCAAAGGAAACCGCCAGGGACTAGTAATCCTGCCAGACCAGTTTGCAAGGTGCCTGGGACTGCTCAGAGCTGCCCAGATAAGCAGTGACAGAAGGGGAAATAAGAAGCTCTGGTCTCAGCTCTGGTCTCAGCTCTGGTCTATATACAAAGAATTGGGGCTAACAGCCCCGACTGCTCTTACGTGTCCTGGTGAGCCTGGAAGAAGCAGGGAAGGGTGCGGGAGCTCTGAGAGAACCGCACTGTGCTCCAAACAGGTGCTACAAACAAAGCTGTGTCACTGTTTTGATAACTGGGATTCATCATGATCATGAATGTTCTTTTCTGCATTTCTGGTCTCTATATTTGTGTTCACTACTCAGAATCAAACACAGGCTGTCACTGAACTAGGTCTCAGAGCAATCCATCATTTGGCTTGAGAGCTTTTGCACACGGGCCTGAGCTAGAGATCCAGCTTGAAGACTCCTCTGCAGGTCTGTGGTCACTCACTTCCCTGTGACTCTGTGCAAGCCACTCTGGGAAACCACCTCTCCCTCAGGAGAGACAGCTTCTTTCTCTCCCAGCTCACCATTCAGTTCCAGTCATGCCAGGAGATAGGAATCACCTAAAAGAACAAGATTCCTGGGAGGTGACAGGGCCGCCTCACTGGGCACCAGCCCTTGCTGCCGGCTCCTTTTCTCGAGCTTGGGAAAAGTGAAGTGAGGAAAGACAAGGATGAAAGGACCATGGGTGGGGGTGGGGATGCCAGGTCTAAGAGGGAAAGGCCCGAGGCAGGAAGAACTGGGATAAAAACAAGAAAAGTCTTGGTGGAAGGAGGGGCTTCAGGGCTGGAGTATCTCAGGCTCCTCCTGGATGGGGCTGGAGGAGGGGCAGCAGGAAACCAGACATCTTCCCTCTGACATTCAGAGTCACCTTCAGAAGTCACTGGTTCCTGCGATATTCAAAAGTTTAAGGAGTGTGAAAGGGTGCCACAAACCACGGGGACAGCTTCCAGGTAAGTGTTACATACTATAGGATGCATTCGCTCCTGGCCTTAGGTCCCAGCAATTTTCTCATCACTTTCTACCAAGAGGGATGCCTTTCCCTTGGAGCCTTAATGGCGACTGAGAGATTGGTGTTCAGCGGAGAGCCATGGAGGGTCAGCCAGTCACTTCTTGCCTAGAGCCTCCTTAGAAGCCACTCTGCCATTCTCAAGTCAGCCCATAGTCACCAGAGCTACTCTTCGGGCTGTTTCAGAAGCACAGCTAGCAGGGCTCGGCCATCCTTCCTACAAAGAGCCAGCGTCCTGTGCTGGCTTTTGTTAGAACCCATATGGGACCAGGAAACTCTTGATTCAAGGGTCCCAAGCTGTCTAGGGCTCCTATCTTCTTCTGAAGGCAAGCCTAAACTCCCTCCCAAAAGAGGGACCCTGGAACTTATTTTATACAAACTAAGAAGTGGCTGGGCACTTTTAATGAGAAAAATTGGCCCAATCTAGGTATGACTAAATCTTTCTTGACTCCCAACTCCCATTTAATCTCAGCTGAAGCTTAAGGGGGGGGCTCACAATTAGTGCGAAGCTGCTTAACCTGGGGGGTTTACAGAGGATAGGAAAACAACCAGATTACTCTCAAAAACTATAGAAGAGGGACAAGGAAGCATGGTGGACTCTGGAAGAGTCAGGTCAGACATGGAAAGATGTGGGAAGCCTCGGGGAGGCTGGAAAGGACAAGCAAATGTGCATGAGTCCTGCAACAAAGATAAGGGCAAAGATGGTCTCCACCTGCTC